TTATTATCAGATTTCCACAGTACTTTTTTCATTGATGAATGCATTGCTGGTTGTGTATTGAATCATACAGATCCCATATTTGATTTGAGTTAGCTAACCTCACTAAGGTTTCCATTGTGGATCCACACTCAGTGCCCCGGCTCCTTATTTTGAGTGAACATTTAGTAAGGATAGGATCAGACACTTGGTCCAAGGTATTCCTGTCTAAGCTCACTGTGGAACATCAATTTGGTTGAGGAAAAATAATGCTGCTGGCATTCATACAGTTGCGTTTCTCTGCGAATCATTACTTTCTGGAAAGGAAGAAGGGTGATAAAGGAAATGTACAAACATTTTAACAGATGTGTGATGTGAAAAAATAGATTTTGCTTATTCTTGAAAGTCAAATGATCTTTCAGTGATCAAAGGTTTTTTTATACTGGCAAATATGTTCTTGGTTTTTAAGGTTCTTGCAAAGATTTGTAGCTTGGGTTGTGGGTGAGATTGTTGATTTGCTCGCCGAGCAAATGAACTACAACCAGCTAGCTCGGCGAGCAGTTCTTGGTATTTAGCATGTGAATTTTTGGACTAGTGAAAAAGAAACAACAGTTTTAGCATTAACAGAAGTATTCTTAATTAAATACAATAGATCTCGCTTTACTATCAATATCAATTCTATACAGCTTGCTTATGTTTATTCTGTATGTCATTTATCTGTCTTAACATAACAAAATAAAGCATTTTTGGCAATCCAACATCAATTATGCTTTCTGGGCCTGCTTCATGAAATGAGGTCAAAATATTTCCTTATACATCTTGTTTCAGATACAGGGTAGAAAATGAATAGAAACAGATGTTATATATTAAAATCATATTAAATTGTGAGTGGCCTTGTCCTGGTTGACTCTGTTTATTCTAGAAAAGTGGCTAAAATGTTGGTACTTTTGTTGTTTGACTTGGAATTGTTCTCTTCTATTTTCTATGGAAACAATTCAATTTCAGGCCAGAGATTTAAGTCTGCAAAGGCAGAATAGAATTCAACGCATTCCATGGGAACCATTGTCAGTTTTGTAGAATGTTGCTAAGTTCCAGAAGGCCTGATGGGGAATGCTGGTGAAATTTCATCAAACCTCTTACATGTCATAAACCTCTGTGGTACCTTGCAGGACACATCAAACCAGCTGTATGGACGTACAAAGCCATTTATGGGGAGGACTGTCCAAAACGTATTATACACATACACTCGCTTGATGCATGGGAAAATCAATATCTTTTACCGAGAAATGGCAGAAGAATATTGTAAACAAAGAAAAAGGTGACAATAACCAGATTCCTGCATGTGCGTGCACTTTGTGGAGTTCAGCACTGAAATTTTGAACTATCATGTGCAATGCAAGAAAAAGAAAATGCAAGTGTGATGTTTAGAACAAGTTACCAAATACAGTTGCTGTTTGGTGCTGTGCCAACAAATTCCAAGATATCACTCGGGTGCAAGAGGATATGACTTCAAGTTACGGAGAATATACTAGCCATGACTGGCTACAAATCAACTTACCTTGGCAGCTTTCCATTTATTTTGACAGTTTTTAGCCCCAGTGATTTTGTTATAGTTTAATGCTTTGTATAACCTGAACAACAGAAATGAACTTTCTTCAACCTTGATGAAAATAAGACTATTGCAATTTATCATTCAGAATAATCTTTTATGTTGCTGAGTCAGCTCTATCAATACTATATCTAACATATTATTAATGGTTGGTAGGAAGAACTATTAGTAATGATGAAGATACAATTTATTAGCATTATGATGTTTGCCAAGTAATGTTAGAGGAATCATTTGCACATACAGTCACAGCGATATACAGCACGGAAACACAACTTTCAGTCCAACTCGTCCATGCCAACCAAATATCCTGAATAAATCTAGTCCCATTTGCCAGCATTGGGCCCATATCCCTCTAAACACTTCCTATTCATATCTTCATCCGGATGCCTTTTAAATGTTGTAATTGTACCAGCCTCCACCACTCCCTCTGGCAGCTCATTCCATACATGCACCACCCTCTGCGTGAAAAAAGTTGTGCCTCAGGTCCCTTTTAAATTTTTCCCTTCTCACCTTAAACCTATGGCCTCTAGTTTTGGACTATCCCACTCCAGGGAAAAGACTTTACCTAATTACCCTATCCATGCCCCTCATGATTTTATAAACCTCTATAAGGTCACCTCTCAGCCTCCAACGTTCCAGGGAAAATGGCCCCAGCCTATTCAGCCTCTCCCTACAGCTCAAACCCTCTAACTCTCGCAACATCCTTGTAAATCTTTTCTGAACCCTTTCTAGTTTCACAACATCCTTCCTATAGCAGGGAGACAAGAATTGCACACAGTATTCCAAAAAGTGGCCGAACTAATATTCTGTACACATGCAAGAAGACTTCCCAAATTCTATACTCAATGCACTGACCAATAAAGACAAGCATACCAAACACCTTCTTCACTATCCTATCTACCTGCGACTCCGCTTTCAAGGAACTATGAACCTGCACTCCAAGGTCTCTTTGTTCAGCAACATTCCCCAGAACCTTACCATTAAGTGTATTAGTCCTGCCCTGATTTGCCTTTTCAAAATACAGCATCTCACATTTATCTAAATTAAACTCCATCTGATCAAGATCCCGTTGTTTCTTACAACCAGAATGAAAAATACATACTGACAAACTGACAAACGCTCAACCAATAGGCTTAAAGTGGGCAGAACCGGTTCCAAAATGGATGGAAATCTGTAAGTTTTGATTTGTATATATTCAGTACCAAACCAATTTTTCAAGCAGAGATAGTAGGAACTGCAGATGCTGGAGAATCTGAGATAACAAGGTGTAGA